TTTTTTTTTTAAGATTTTTATTGGAGAATTGGAGAAGGGGAACAGCATTGGGGAGACAGACAAGTTGCTGTCCTTTTGTTCTTCAGTCTAGTTGTGGAGGACGTCGCTTCACTGGCCCATGTTGGTATTGTGATCATTACGCTCTTCCCGGATGAGGCAGTCAGTCGCCAGCCATTGGACAACCACTCACAGTGGCTCATGGCAGCTCAAGGCAGCTCATGAAAGCTCACGCCTGCTGCTGGCCAGCCCCACTGCAGCTTACGCCGTCGCCAGCGACTGACGGCAGCCCAGCTCCAGGTCGAGCTGCTGTTCACCATCTTAGCTGTAGAGGGCGCAGCGTCACTGGCCCTCATGTGGGATCTGAACCGGGGCCCTGCTGCTCAGAGCTGGCGTCCCAAGCCAACTCCTAACTAATGTGCCACTCGGCGGGCCTCCCTTCTCATTTTCTTTTGTGTATATTCTGTAACTGTTTTCTTTGTGGTTACGATGGGGATTAAATTTTACATCCTAAAGTTATAACCATCTAATTTGTCTTTACACTGCTTCAAGTTAGTGTTTCCTTTTATTTCAACCTTCAGGACTCCTCTTACCATTTCTTACAGGGCAGGTCATCATAAAAAATTCTGTCAGCTTTTGTTTAATGTCATAATTTCTCTCTCACTTGTGAAAGGGCAGTTTTGCCAGATACTGGATTCTTGGTTTACAGTTTTTTTCTTTTAGCACTTTGAATGCATCAGCCCCACGCCTTGTGGCCTCCAAAGTTCGCATGAGAAAACGTCTCTGATTTCATTCCTTAGGAGGTGCAGCTTTAGACATGCAGTTACCTGAGGTGACAGAGGTTTCAACGTCTTTCTGTGACTAATTCCCTGGCTTCTCTTTTAAACTGTGTGCCTTTATTGGTATCACACTCAGATGTTAGCTCCAACTGCCAGTTGATTGCTCTGTTTTTGATGACGCTCTGGGGGCATAAATTGCTCTGCCGTCTGATCCAATTAGATTTGGGCCCTTTTGGAGAGGAAGTTTTTGAGGTTTGTTATGTCTTCAGGAGGGCTCTTCTTAATGCCCTTTCCCGGCTGTCTCTGGTAAATTAGCTAGCCTATAATTTAGCTTGTTGCTCTAGTAGAGCTATTCGCCTTCTAATTGCTTACCACTAAATCCTTCATTGTTCTTGAGCACCCTTAGTCTTGAACTTCCCCATACTCTTCCATATAAAATCAGTTCCTCTGGGAAGAGCTTCAGAGCTCTTGGATTTTATGGGCTGCCTCTCCCCTGGGAATATTTTGAGTCACTGCTCTGGACCATGGCCTGCTTCTCTAGGATTGACAGGCCAACTTTATGAGCAGAGCTTTTTGTATGGAAGCCTTGTCTTCTCGGGTTGGCTCGCCTGGCATGGAAAGTTTAACCTGGAAGCAAGCTAGGGAGAGGTGATCGGGAGCCCAGTACTCTTGGCCTACTGCACCTGGGGTAGAGCCTCTATCCTGGGTGGTAGCTGAGTGGAAAAAGGGGTTCCTGATCTCCTAGTTGCCCTTGCCTGGAGTTTAACATTTGCAACACAAAATCAGGGGCCTGAGAAACAGTGACAGCCTGCCCTTCTCTGGGAGATACCACAGTCCTTGATTGATAATTGGGAAGAGAGGGAGGATTTTTTTTCTTGGCCATTATCACTCAGAGTGGACCTTCTGTAGCTCTGAGCTGTGTGTGTGTGCGTGTGGTGGGGAGGGTGGTGTCGGGAGAGAATAGGTTGTGGCATAAATATCACAGACTCCTGATATTCTTACAGAGATTTCGATTTTCATTTGCTGTATGCCCTTAGGACAACATGCAGAGACTTTAAATGGTTGTTTTAAATTTTTCACCAGTTACGGTAGTTATGGTTGGGAGCAGGTGGGAGCTCCTCATGTAGCAATTCCAAAAAGTCATTTGTCTATTTATTTTTAATATTGGAGTCTGTCTCACCAAAAATAGTTTAAAACAATGAAAGTTTATTCATATCCCTTAGGATATTAAAAAATGAAAATATCATAATCTCAAAACCCAAAATACTGTGAATTTAGAAAATAAAAATTCTCAACAGATTTTTAGTTTAAAAAATATTTAGCATTCAGAAAAAAATCTCAGTAGAATAAAACCACATCCAAGGTAAAAAAAGATATCAAGACATAGAATTGTAACAGACTATTACTTTGAGCAAGCTTTTCTGTTATTTTAAGTACAATAATTACAATTGCTTTTTTTGCTTGTCTGTTCATCATTGTTTGCGCTTTGATATTTGTCTTTCATATCAAGGATTGTATTTTAATACACAACTATATTAAACCATAATGCCCAGAAACATTAGTTACCATCAGACAATAGCAATGCGATTCACTCGCTGGTCATCCAATTCACTTCCCAACATTAGAAAAATAACTGAGCAGGCAAATTTATTCTTTTATTTTTCTCTTTAAATGCTATTCATGGCTATCTTTTAAAAATTCTGGAACACAAATGGAGTTTTCTTTTTACAGATCATATAGTATTTGAAATATACTATTTTATCTCAATACTGATTTTATAAAAGCCATAGGTGTTGGGTATGTGTATGTGTGAATAACTTTTTTTGTAACTAAAGATGATCAGAGATTAACTTAAGCTAAAAAATCTTTATCAAGTGAAACTTTCATTTGCCTTTACCATTAGTATTATAATTCTAAGAAAGGGATCACACAAATTATAGTTAAAAGAAAACAATGTCCTTATGTACTTGAATTTCCAAGTAAAAAGTTTTGCTAATAATTTTAAACACTTTTTCTTTACTGCAGTGACAGAAATATTTTTAGCACACATATCAGGTATACACTAAAATTAGTAAATATTTGTTTTACAAAAATTTAAAACTTCTTTAATTTGGAATTCAAACTATGCAGCAGTTCAAAGTGAGGTTTATATTTGCATTATAAACAAGTATAAAAAGAGTGGCAACTAATTCTATTCTAATCCAGAAACCCACTTTAAAGAATCTAAGCAGAATAGTTGCTTAAATGTAAATGGCAAACTGAACAGATGACCACTTGTCAGGGATATTTTACAAGGAAATTTCTTCAGGGATTTGAGGTTGAGCTAGTGTTCAATGATTTCTAAGTCCCTTCTAATTCTAAAATTCTATTATCCTAAAGTTTTCCAACAGTTCTCTTTAGAAACAATTCTTTTCACCATTACTGCCACAGATTATGTCACACATAGGTGGAAGTTTTAGTATGTTACTATATGTGCTTAAAATAAATGTCATCTTTCCGAATATGCTGCATCTTCTCCCCATTTGTTTCAGACTGAGACCTTGTCGCTGTCTCGGACTGTTTCACTATGCTTGAACAGGACCTATTTTAGCCTAAACGTTCTTTTCTTGGCAGTGTCATAAACAATACAATACATTTTAAAAAAATTCAACATGCTACATGTCAAAATCAGAAATAAGCACCTGTACCTCAAACTCCCTATGTTAAAACTATAATAAATTATTTAAATGCAAACAGTTGATATACATGTTGCTTGCTCAGTTCTCTCCAAATAGGAATTTATGTCTACTATGAAAAGAAAATAGCTTCAGGTTAAATCATAATGCAAAGATGTTAAGTAATTATGATTACCACTTTTACAATTCGATGTCGGAGTCTTGGTTCTGGAGACACACATTTTTTCATGTAGATGATAATTTAGATAAAAAATATATACTTTGGCAAAATATTTACCCACATATTCTCCAGGAATTGCTAGAGAGATGAAGTGTAAAAACAAACTACTTGGAGACTTTGTAACTTCCAAAAACAGTGACAAAATCCATGAATAACTGGAAAAAGTCTTCTGATTCATTAGAGTTAGTTCTAAATGTTATCAGACTACATGACTTCAAGTAATCTTCTAATCATAATTTTCTATTTTTTAAATACTGGTTCATCAAAAATCAAATCTCCATGAGTTAAGTACTATTCACTGGCAGCCTGGCAGTGAATTACCTGGAAAACAAGGCCTTTTGTAGGAAAGACACTTTTGAACATCGCTGTCTCACATCTTTAATATTGCCTTAAAAGGCCTGTAATTCTTCAACTATCTCAGTGTACTCTGAAATATAATTATAGTTGGAACAGTTATTCGAAATCCAAGTAGATAAGTCTTATGGCAGTATTTGTTTACTCAGAACATATTTCATTTCAAATATATGTAAAATTTATCACAAAGTCAATATAATTCACAGTTTGAACAGAAAACTCAGTGTTGAAATCTCAACATTCAGGAAAATAAACACTACTTATTAGGTTGCTTTTGAATACAAATCACTCATTTAAGTAAATGGGATATAGTTTCTAAATTGTATTAGAAGTGAAGAAATAATTTTTTATGTGAAGCCTTGACCAAAATCCATTAGTGAAGTTCAAGATTACCACATTATGGTACAAATCAAACTCTCCTGACACAACCAATTTGCTAGAGATTTGGATACAAATATAACTACAGTTGGGGAACTGGATGTCCCTTACTTAGCTCGGGTAATGAGAGAAAAAGGCATACTATGGATCAGGTCCCCATTTTTATTACTTCATTGATAACGCCTACTTGTTTATTAAAAAGTATTTCTTCCACTGAAGATATATTTCTAATTTTATAATGCTAAACAGTGGGGGGGGGGCAGGGAAAGAGGGACCTATTTTTAAAAATTCCATTTTTTATAAAGTTACTTAACCATGTTAATTAGGTATGAAATGACTCTTCATTTTCTGCTCTAAAGACAACCAATCTTTTTTTTTAAGTATTGACTTGCCAATGTATCTTTGACGAGTTATTCAGAAAGATAAATGAATCTTCTGACTTTACAAATAAGAATGTGTGAATATAATTATACATATTCTGAGAAGTTGTGTCCCATAATCTAATTTATACTTCTGATTTAAAATATAATCAAGTTCTCTCAGTAAACTGCATTAATTTTACATTTTAAACTTAAATCATCCTTACTGTACCGTTCATTCTGCTTCCTTTTTATGTTTACATTATTTCTGTAAATACTCAAATTAAAAAAAACAAAACAAAAAAATCCCAATCTTGAAACCAGCTTACACTGGAACTCTGAGGTTAATTTGTAACTTCTAAAATATTTTGTTAAAACGTAAAATCCCTGAAATTACAAACAAAAAATTAACAATTTTACAGTATATAACTAATTTATTTTTTTAAAAAAATATTCTGAATTGTTTTTGTACAATTGTTTCATTTTTTCAAATGAAACTCTTTTATAGGCTACAAGAGAGTATGTGGTATCGCCCCATTAAAAACCAATACAAATTTTTTTTTATGCTGGTACTTCAACTATTTCAAAGTAGTCATTTGGTACAATCACATAACCTCTCTCTGATATGTCGTCTTTCTCTTTCTGGAAGTGTACAACCTCCTTTAATTTTTCAAGCTGTCGTTCTTGTCTTCTGCATCGCTGCTGTGCGGTCTTGAGCTTCTTTCTGAGTTTTTCCACTTGTTGTTCTAGCTGATGAATCCTTTTTCTCTGGTGCATTGTGTCCTCCACAGTGTAGTTGTGATCACAGAAAACTGAGAGATTGTCAGGGGTTTGAAGAGGAGGCATTAGTAATCCAATAGCAGCATCAACCTGGGAGATGGGAGGTGTCAAAGGAGGTGGGGGAAGCTGTTCTTGGGGCTCCAGAAGATCGTCCTTCTAAAACAATGCAGAGCATGTTTGAATTTATTAAGTAGGAATAACAGTTTAAAAGAATTCATCTGTGGAATTTAAGAATATTAAACTTAAAAAAAAAAAAAAGAATCCTTGGTAAAGAAACATTCCAAAATGAGAAAATAGTTTGTTTTAATTATACTTTTCTACCTGAATTAGAAATGGAGGCAAGAAAGAGACAGAATGACTAACAAAATTTAATTAAATACTACGCACTTAAAACTGAGGAGAAAAATACTTTGAAACTAAACTGTCCAACTGGTCTTAAAGTAAATTACAAAGTTCACTTGAGTTTCTTAATGTGAGGATATTTAACTTTAATAAACTGCATTTTGTATTTTTTAAAGGTATATCACTATTAACAGTAGTTATTTACAAGTGATAGGTTCCAGGTAACATTTATTTTCTTAATACTATTCTGAATTTCCCAAATTTTCCACAATGAACACATTAATTTTATAAATAGAAAACAACCCAACATTTTTAAACACTTATTACCTTGTCATGTGGTTCAGTACAAAGAAATATTGTGGGTACAGCATTCTCTTTCAGTAACTTGTTGTTGCACTCCCTCTTGAAGCAGTCTGGAGTAAAGTGTTCCGAGCAAATACTGCTATACTTGGTGGGTTTAAAGTTTTTTCTTCTGACAGCTGCCTCCCATTTTTTACAAAGACTAGGTCGAGTAAGAGGAAACCTAAGAAAATGACATAATTCAGTTCTCTGACTTTATTTAAAAAAAAAAAAAAGGTACATCCAAACTTTCCTACTTACGAAAAGAACTATCTTACATTGGTGTTAACACATTAAGGAATATTTGATTAAAACACTACTTCTGATATTTGTTTTTTTGACAGTTTTAGTTGTGTCTTATTCACCTTAGTTCATTAAAACTGTACTTGTTTTAAAGATCCTATAAATAAAATGACCTCCCACTAATGTGGGATATAAGTCACCCCTCCTAGAACAGTATTTTTCTTTTTTTTATATAAAGCAGTATTTCTTATAGAAATCTTATTGGTCACACAATAGTTTAAAGAATGTCAGATATAATGATATATACAATCTAAACAAGACAGGTTAAGAATTTATATCATGTAAAAATACATATTAAAAGTTAGCCATGCAGTGGGAAAAGTAGGTGATGAAAAGTTGGGGGTGGAGGGCCCATACATAGTATATTGTTTTTGCCCCTTCATTATAGTAAATAACTTCCAGTAACAAATGCAGGTATTCCACACACTTCTAAATACACAGGGGTAAATCAAGTAGCTCTCTTATCGATCTCATTTATTATTGTTTAAATTTTTACGTTGAAGACACTAAAAGTTTCAAGTGAAATACATACTATAGGGTAAATGTGTATTAATTTTTTTACCAGTGATTTTATGTGTACTGCAAAACAAAACTGCCTGTTTCTATCTATCTACTGAGAAAAAGAAACTTCTAGTTCTCTTAGAATCGGTCAGACAAAAAGGAATAATCAAATTATATACTTAAATCATTAGATGAAGAACTTAAAAAATTATGTGATTTACCTCTTGACCACTGGAATATGTCCATTAGGCCCAGATAAAGGGAGGTGGGAAGAGTTTAAATTTATTGTGATTTTTTTTTTTTGCCAAGTCAAGGATTTAATAAGCTGGGGGGATTGGAAAGAAGCCAAAGAAGGATGTTTCCACGCTATGTTCCAGTTTCTTTCCCATGTAAGGTATGTCAGAGCCTTATCTATTACCATGAGACTCTCACCAATCTTTACAGAAGTCCCTTTTCTTTGCCTGGTGTAGCTCTTCCCACTGCCACCATGTTTGTTTCTTCTGACAGCTGTGGAAACTGGGGAAAAGAAGTACTCCTAGAAGATTCTTGCTGGAAATGGCCTCTAGCAGTACAAACTAGGGTAGCAATCGCTGGTAAAATTCAGCACATAGGGCCTTCTGACTCAAGGACTACAAGTGCTCAGGTTGTTTGTGAGGTTTTGTCAAGATTTTTCCCATCTCTTCCCCCAAAACTGTCCTTTTAGATAAGGGATGAGATGTAGAAGGTTAGCCCTTTTTTTAATTGAATTAACAGCCAGCAGAATCTCAATAATTCTGATGTATGAATGTCATCCTTAACTATTTTGCAGTGGCAATGAAGGGTTTTCCATATTTTTAGATCTCCTCTGCCACATCAGGAGAAATGGGGAGATGGGAAGCTGAACACATATGGTTGTGTTACAACCTCCTGACCTATTCCTACACTTTCAAACTACTGGAGAGGTCAATTCATTAACTTTCAGAAATTCCAATAATTCAAGAGGTAATATTAGGATATAACGGAACTGGATCCTAGGAGTGTTAAACGTTCTACTCCATTCTCATAAGGGGGGAAACATCAACACTCAAGATCTCTCTATGCTCTAGGCACTTGTATTTCTGTATGGTCCCTCTCATGTTATACTAAACATGTAAAAATGCATCCACATCCGCTTTTAAACATAAATGACTTCCACCAAAAAAACCCCCTGAATGAATATTTAAAATTTTGCTATTGTAATTATTCAGCTATGAATAATTCTTGTAATTCACCGATTCTAATTTCTTAGCTACAATCATTTACAGCAGGGAATTCTTGAAAAAATTTAACGTAAATGTAATAAAATTTGTAAATACTGTAGAATTTGGCTGAATGAAAATGCCATCGTGTCACATTTTGCAGACATTTATCATTAAGTCATTTCCATTTTGCAATTTTTTTTTCAAGAGAACATTTTCCCTCTAGGATAAAACAGTCCTGAATGCTGTGGGGGAGGTTCTATTCTAGTGCCTTCCTCTATGCACCCATAATAGCTCATATTCACCTTGATTATAGTACTTGATCATGGGTCCGTATTATTATTGTCCATGTTATCATCATAGTGTGTTGAAAACATAAAGTATTCATCTTAGCAATACTAGAAACTGTCTCTAAAATTTAAGAGGTCCTTACTGGTTGGTTCCTAGAAATTGGGTCAAAAACATTCTCCCTGAAATCCTGGCCCAAAATCCATCTATAATGATGCTGGCCTACCATCCACAGCAAGGACGAAAAGAGTGACTTCTTTTTAAAGGTCTCCGTTTCTATTTCAAATTTATTTCTAGAGTTATTACCACCTCGCTTTTCTACGACCTAGGAGTGAAACCCAGATGCCTCTCGGCCTGGAGACCTCACTACCTACAGAGCCTCTTGGCACTGCCCGCGGGCCCGGCACCCGCCAACCCCAGGCTGCGAGCAAACCTCGCACCAGGGTGGGATCCTCCAAAGGGAGAATAGATCACCGGGGTGACGCGCGCCGAGATCGCGCAGCCTGGGGCACCCCGGCGCTGGCTTAGATTACAAGCGGACACGCCCATCGCTCCACGGCCTGGAATAGACCCCGAGGAACGCCCGGCCGCGCCCCGCCCCTGCCTCCGCCCATCTCGCTAGGTCTCGCGCGGACACGCGCCTGGCTCCGCCCCCGAGCCTAAACGGCCGCGCGCCCCCAGCCCGAGCTGGGGCAAGCCCCGCGAGGCGCGAATGTACTTACTTGTGGAAAGACACGGGTTTATCCTTATCATAACGGTTCTTGCAGCCGTAGGCGGAGCAGGACTGCACCATCCTTCTGGTCCTCTGTCCTTCACTTCTGCCGCCCCAGCAAGCAGGTGAAGCTATCAATGTCGCTGCGGTCGGCTTTGACACCCTCACTTCTTCTGTAGCTTTGGCCAACAGTTACAGTGAAGATAGCTTCACTTGGAAGTGACTAATGTGCCCGTTTTGTTGTTTGTAGTAGCAGGAGGACCACAGCCCTCTCCCCTCTCCCATCTCCAAGATGGCGAAGGCAGCTTCAACCTCACTTCTCGCGAGGAGTTCGTCCTACCGTCTCTGATTAGCCCTGAGGTCAGAGGTAACGTTCCCTGAGAAGCAGACCATTGGCTGAGGTCCGGCGTGTTGCCCGGCGGGCTCAACGTTGCGGGAGTGGGCGGGGCCTGAAGCTTCCGGAAGGAAGAAACAAACAGCTTGTTAGAGGAGGCGAGGGAAGCGGAATGTGAACCTAGGGTTGGGCTCCGCCGCCGATGGTTTTCTTGAGTTAATTGATCTGGGGCGGTTTAGTGTGGAGAACAATACGGTCTGTTGGGTCCTCTGGCCTAAAGGAGGGCAGGTGTAAAGCTGAGGTCGTTGGGTAATTGCGCCCATTTCTTTAAACGGCAGCCACTCATTGTGTATGATTTGTAATAATTATGGAAATAACCCAAATGCCCACTATTGAATGAATAAATTGTGGTATCGTCATATAATGGACTACTATACAGCAATCAAAATGAAGTAGTATGACACACAATATGGATGGTTTTTACGTAATGTTGAATAAGTCAGACAAAATACACTATACGATCCTTTTTTAGGTAAAATTAAAAGTCTGAAGCGGTTACTTTGGGGGAAGAGGCAATGAAGGGACTTAGGGGATGGTGGTAATGTGTCTTGACTGAAGTGATGGTTAAACTGTTCACTTTATGATAATTATCTGACCCTTATTTATAAAATGGTGTTTATTCTACTTTAGTAAAACAGCTTATTAAGCAAATGAGCCACACAAGATAAGCAAAACTGCCTTTTATTAGCGAATGAGCGATATTTGTATGTTCATTTGATCTCTTCATTTGACCATTTAAGGGAAAGACAATACATAGGGATACTGAAGGTTAATTAGAATTTTTGTTTCTCAACCTTAAAAGGCCAAGAGCTAATTATTTACTGATATAACACTTTTTAAGGAAAAAAAAATTTCACCCTTGACATTTAAAAGAGTTTTGTACAATTATTCTCGAAGGATAAACTTTTGTCTTCTTTGATAAACTGAAGAAAAATAAGTCACTTGTTTTGCCATAGGAGAGGGCTAAGGGCTATAAAGATGTTTTTAAACTAACTAATATCTAACAGGTTAGATTTTAATTTCTACCCAACTATGCTTTTTCTATTAGCAATTTTTATTTATTAAAGATACTCTAGCATTCATTCTCTGTGAGCCTCATTATCTTCATCTGTGGAGTAAGGCTGTAGGACTAAATGAGGAATTCTTAATTTTGAATCCATGAATGGGCAGGTCTTGAATCCCCTGAAAAGAAACTGAAATTATACATACATGTGTGTATCATTTTTCTGGGGAGCTATCCATAGCTTTCACCTGATTTTCAGAGAAAATGCAAAAACTAGGCAATTTGTAAGGATCCTTACAACGCTAATATTCTAGGATTAGTGAAACAAGATTTTCATGTAGATAAGAATTAAAGGTTTTCTCTAATACTGATTAGAAGGGTGAATGTTTTGATCTGAATATCAGGTATTTTAAAAGTTTTTAATTTTGTGTTTTAAAACATTAAAATCAAAACTGTTAGGTATCAGTGAGTTTAAAACTACTTTCCCAGCAAAAGGCCTACAGCTAAATACCACTAGTCTTAAAAAGAGAATAAGTAAAGTATCCAAACATGCTCAGTGTTTTCTGACAGTGTTTATTCCTCTCATGCACCAATCTGGAACATGGGATGAGTCAGAGGATACAATTGGATGAAGATGACAGTGACTGATAACACCTCAAATTTGCTTGCAGTCTATGACTCTGCTTAAAAACACTGATGCCATAAAAATGGTCTGGTTCTGACAGAACAACATTTCAATGATTGTCTTTATCTCTGTGATTGTCAACAGCCCTTAAAGCCTACTGGCCTGGTCCTGGCAGACAAGCTTTAGGGCCTTCAAACTTGGAGTGCCCTTTCTTATCTAACTCAGTCCCAGATTTATGGATTGCTGTTTAGCAAAACAGAAGAGTCTGGAGTACATTTAGTGTTTTAAAGAGAAGGCAAAGAGTGCTAACATAAGGACACAGACTCAGAAAAGAACATTTCAGTTATCAAATACACACTCAAAAGGAATAGGTGTGGAGAATCAGGGTGCAGGCCTAATCTCTAATTCCAATTCCACCCTTCTTGTCCAGAATTAATATAGATTGCCCAGATTAAATAATTTTCCTCAAAAACATTTCTACTTTTTAAATTTAAAAAAGCCTAAGCAAAATTAATTAGAAATGTGACACAATATTGGATGTTCATAAGTGAAAAGGAAAGCCATTGCAACCATTATATTGAATACTATTTCAGGAATTTTATTTTTTATTTATTTTTAAAAAGATTTTATTGGGGAATTGGGGGAGGGGAACAGATAAGTTGCTGTCCTTTTGTTCTTCAGTCTAGTTGTGGAGGACGTTTCTTCACTGGTCCATGTTGGTATTATCATTGTGTTCTTCCTGGGTGAGGCAGTCGCTTGCTGGCCACTGGACAGCCACTCACAGCGGCTTTTGGCAGCTCACACCGGCTGCCAGCTGCTCATGCTGGCTGCCAGCCACTCACAGCAGCCCACTGCAGCCTCACTGCAAGCCTATACTGTCGCCAGCGACTCATGGCAGCCCAGCTCCAGGTGGAGCTGTTGTTCACCATCTTAGCTCTAGAGGGTGCAGCATCACTGACCCTTGTGGGATCCAAACTAGGGCCCTGCTGCTCAGAGCTGGCGCTCCCAAGCCAACTCTTAACCAACACACCACTTGGCTGGCCCAGGAGTTTGGAATTTTAAAGCAAACAATATTAAAGAAATAGGAAGAAAACAAATACTTTTTAATTTTAGTTATGTTGCTTTTATTCAAAAGAATAGCTGCTTGACAAATTCTTAAATCATGAAGTTTGAACCAAACCGTCAATCTTCTGCAATAACTCTGTGAGGTAGGTATCTGCACAGCGACAGGGACCAAGAGTCCTTTCTTCCCTTGCTTTCAAAGGCTGAAACCACTGTCCTAGTGGACAGTTAAACAATTTTTCATCCTCTTGTTCCCCACAGACCTGCCCAAGTTACCATCTGTTCCTGGGGTTCGACCATCTGTTTTTGTGAAGGTTACAGTATTGTTTACAAAAATCCAAATTGTTGCTTTGATTTATATGACCTCACACTCAATCATAGAAGTATTACTATGTTTAAAACACTGATTGACTCTACTTGCTTTAAATACTCTCTCAGGTCCTTTCTACATTTATTACATATGTAGATCCTTTCTACATCTCTAAAATTCTGAGATGTCAGTATGTACCCTTTTGAACTTAATAAGACCTCAGATCATACAGTGTTTTTGTATGTTACAAAAGTTGGTACAATACAACTCTACCAGGAAAGTCTCAAAAGGAATTCCAAATATTACAATAAATCATAATAACTAGAAATGTGACACTTGAAGCAGAACACATGCACAGAAAATGAAATCCTTTAAAAAACGACATTGCTACATAGCCCCAGATCAAGTTTGTAATTGGTAGGAAATGCATTTCTAGTCTGGTGTAACAATTTCATACTATTAGCTTTTGAAGTTGGTAACTGCAGCTGAAATGTTTTCTATGAAGTATGCTACCCTATTAGATATTTGATTTGGAAGTAGAAAATTAGGATTCATGAAGTCTTGATATGTCATCCTTCCAGACCTTTCCTCTTAGGCGCCCCAAGCTATCCTACTCCAGTGTGTTCCAAAAGACTTCCAAAGGACTCCAGTTTCTCTCCTGCTTCCTCTCTTCGTAATAACCTTCACATCTATCTGAACCCATGCCAGAGTCCTACTGAGAGTCCAATACCAGTTCAGTCACTTATTTGTGCATGGCTTCAGAAAAAAAACCTTTCATCTATAACACAAAGATTTCGTCTATGAAAAGGAAGACAATGCCTTGCCTTCTTCACATAACTGTCTTAAGGATAAAATGAAAGGTATACAAGAAATTGCTTTAATTATAATGTACTATATTTAAGTATTGTTCTTATGATAAGCAACAGCTTTGTCCTAGGCCCAAATTAGAAAACACTTATTGATATTTTATTCATCATCTCATTAATTGATGGCTAATCTGATTAATTTGAGAGACTGTGACAGATGTTCTTTTTCTCCCTATATCTATAAATAGTGAGGCTCATTAATACATGAATGGACAGTGTGATTATCAGTGATTGCAGGTGACAAAGCCAACACCCCTGGGCATCAACGACAAAGCTGCTGTCCAGTATGCTAATGAGCAGTGCCAGCTGAGGGAGTTAGGACTTCATAATACTTGAGGTTTTTACTCTTCTCAAAGAGAAAACTGCAGAAGAGAGCGTTAGACACTTATGCTGTAGCCATTAAAAACCAAGGTAATTTTCCTGTTGAATCACCTCAGACAACATTTGCTCATTCTGCATAAGACCTGAGGAACTTGGGCTATACGCTGCCATCTAGGAACAGATTACAAAAGTTTTCTGATTAACCAAATTTGTCCTTTCTGTTGCTCTAGCTCAGCAGTAATTTCTCTTGTCCAATTTAAAGTGTTCCTAGTATCCTCCTAAGGTCTTATTGATACTCAAGCCATGAAGAACCACTTTCCTCAGAAATGCATCAAGCTACTATGTGTCTGCAGTATCACCCAGGTTCCTGAAAAATTCCCTTTATAAGTTATTTTGATATGCTATTCCTATAAAAGGACCAAACTCTTGTTTAAATGTCATAGTTAAGAACATAAGTGTGCTGGCTGGAAATAAATTTCTTACATCTTGTTAATGCTACTGATTAATAAGTGTTCTGTAAACCAGAATGTGAAATTAAGTTATAAAGTTCAAGTTTCTTTTAACTTTCAGCTCATAACAAAGAATTACATCAGAATGGAAAAGCAGAACTGCTCCAAATGAACAAAAGCTAGCTAGTACTAAAAGAAACAGTTTTCCCCCAATATTGTACAATATTTTATTGTAACAAAAATATTTAGATCAATCTCATAGCAATATATTATACAGGTACTCACTGAGAAGGATAAATTTGATAATGTGTACATTTAACAATATTTTACTATACATCCAATTAATCTGAGTAATTTGGAGGAAAAGAAAAAGATATAAATCCCTTTTTATATAATTCTGTATTTTTTCCAGAGACTTTATAGACAACACAATCAAGATACAGCTGTAAATTATTATAATTCTAACCTTAATATTAGAACCTGCAACATGTAAAAATTCCGGTCATGTATTGCTAGGTATTTGCCAAAAAGCTAATCAAATGTTTGTAATACAGCGGTTTTAAGTTTGTAAGATAATATTCAAATGCTTTATACTGCCATGGGTCCTTTTGTCTGAGTTTACATAGTAGCTCAAATACTTGAGTAAACTTTTTTTCACCTGTTTAGTCTCTGTGTTATCACTTCTCTGTACATAATAGAGATGTAGATAAGCAACAAAAAGATGACAAAGAAATCATCTAAAAAGCCTAAAATTCCAAACAAGGCTTCAGGTACAAAATCTAGAGGTGATATAAGATAGAAAAAAGCTCCCATTAAACAAAGTATTATCCTGATACGGAACATCCAGAAAAGGCCCCCGACTGAAAACATTTCCCTGAATGCATGTCTCAGTAAAGTGGGTAGATCCATAATTCTTTCCATAATCTGGTAGGGGGAAGAACAAATGTTATAATTTGGCATCTAATGTGTCAAACTTCAAAACAATGTAATTTTCTTACAACGTGCAAACTCATTTAACATGAACTAAGAAATTTCACATATTGATTGGACACCATATTTTCTAGCTATGCATTTTATTTTAAAATAGTCCTTTGATTACTAAGTTCTTATAAAATAGGCCTTATTGCAGATAATTGTAAAGCAACTAAAATAACAAACTTAAAATATAGGATATAATAAAATAAAACTCAAGTTATCTCTAATTTGGGTTAGTAAAATAAAATAAATGAATATAGGATTAGAGTCTGAGGCTTGAACTCAAGTCTCAGCTTTAAAGTCAGATCTGGGTTTGAATTCAATGTCAATCACTTATTATCCAGGCGACCTTTCAGGAAAGTTGTGTAACCTACTAGAGAGCAGTAAGTCAACAACTCATTGAGTACTTATGTGTCATGAGGACTTTCAAGAACTAAAAGAAATATTGTATATAAAAGACCTTTATAAATTGCTAGATAATATATAAGTGGTATACATTAAAGATACACTAACTTTGATGGCTTTGACAGTAAGAATACCAATGAAACTGATCCCTTCTTAGGGTGTTTATTCTGTTTAGCTTAAGCGAATTACTAATTGCTACAAAGATTTTGGAATGACAGACCCTACTTTTCTGAAAAGGATTAAGTTCTGAATGTTTACAGAAACACACATCACTCTTTAGGTTTTTACACAAGTGAGCATAATTTTCACAGCTGAAATTTAACAGATTACATAAATTTTAAAAGATTGAAGGACATGGAGAAATTGGAACCCTCATACACTTGGTGGGAATGTAGAGCCTCTTTGGAAACAGTTTGGCAGTTTATTAAAATATTAAACATAGAGTTACCATAATATCCAGCAAATCCACAATGAAGCATATACCCAAGAGGAATAAAAATGTGTCTACACAAAAACTGGTACATGAATAATGTTATGGCAGCGTTATTCATAACAGTCAAAAAGTGGAAACAATTCAAATGTCCATCAACTGAAGAATGGATAAATAAAATTATAGATTATTCAGCCATAAAAGGCAATGAAGTCCTAGCATAGGGAATATAGTCAATAATACTGTAATAACTCTGTTGTGTCAGATAGGTACTAGATTTGTTGGGGTGATCACTTCGTAAGTTATATAAATGTCTAATAACTATGTTGTACACCTGAAACACAAATATAATATTGTATGTCAACTGTAAGTGAAAAAAAAAAAACAATGAAGTACTGAGATGTGTTACAACATGAATGAACCTTGAAAACATGATAAGTGAAATGAGCCAGAGACGAAAGGTCATATATTATATGATCCCATTCAAATAAATGATGAAATTTCCAGAATAGCCAAATCTATAGAGACAGAACGTAGATTAGTGGCTGCCAAGGACTGGGGAGAATGGGAAGGGACTGCTGAAGCTTTTGGGAATATGAGAATATGCTTAAATTATATTATGGTGATAATTAGATTATATTTACTCTGTAAATATACTATAAATCATTGAATTATATACTTTAAACAGGTATCTCTGGCATGTAAAGTACATCCAAATAAAGTTGTAAAAAGAAAAAAGATAGTACCAATATCTTTATATGACCTTGAGTTTATTCTCTGACTGCAAATTTCTCATTTGTTAGTTGTTGTTAATTGGTTACATGATCTATAAGGTCCTGTGTAGTAATGACCTACCATGACTCCTTAACATAACTTCTTTTATTATCTCATTTCTCAGGCTGGTAAATGCAAAAGAAACTGAACAGAGGAAGTAGATCACTTCCTGTGGTCATTCCACTGCCCACAGTTCAGCTATTTTTAATCTGTATAAATATCATAAATCGAACTCTAGGTATGTATTTTATTTGTTTAACAAGTGCCAAATAAATTGAGAGGGAGATGGAGACAAAAATGGGAAGAATTGAGAGAGTGATGAGAAAACAGTTTTAAAAACTCCACCACCAGTTAAAGAAAATCTTGTAACTTCTTTTGGAAAACTAGTCACAAAAGGACAAAATTGATCTTTTTAGGATCACTTCCTATGCTAATTTTCTATTCTCTATGGAAGAAATATTTAAAGCAAAACAGCTAAACAGCCTTTGCAGGGTCTGAGATAAATTAAGTATTCTAATAACTAGCCAGTATGTCTTTTGAATACTTTTCTGTCCTTTATCAGAACTATTTTGTTCACTTCTGATCGCGTATCATTTATACCAAATCTGTAATAATTAGATAAATATGAAATGGGTTAAGAAATGTTTTGTATAATAATCACAATCTTACTCCAACTTTGAATGAGGTAGAGTGTCAAAGTAAGAGCTAAATGTCGTTACTATATTGTAATTTCATCACATACCAAGCTTTCTTACTCATTAAATATATATATATATATATATATATATATATATGACAAAAAATAATAGAGCAATGGTATGCTTCACACTTAAAAATATGGATATCTTAAAATTATTTTTTTTAAGTCCAGTGGTAGGTCTTAAATTTAAAATATTGATTTTTAAATAATCATCCTATAGATGTCACTGAAGGATATGTAAAAAAATTGCTGGATAAAAAATAGCAGAAGCTCCCAGATAACTATGGGGGACAATAGTGATTAGATTAAGTGTTTCTTGTTGCTTTAACACCCTAAAAGATTTACCCATTATTCACAACAAGTGAAACTATACCTTTAAATATACATGACATCACAGAATAAGGAATATGAGCAAGGGAGTACAAGAGCACATAGTTGTTTAATACTGAAGCATTTTAATAGTTTATATTCTTGGCTGGAAGTAGTACTATCAATTTTTGTTGTTTTTTTATTTTTATTTTTATTTTTTTTAGCTGAGCCATCCTGCTACCTGTTGGCAGCTCAGCGGCTGCTCAGCTCGGGCTGGACTCGAACCGCTGTTGCTCAGAGCTCAAACTCTTGAGCGAGCTCTTAACCAACTGAGCCACTCGGCCGGCCCAGTACTATCAATTTTTAAGGATTATTCATTAATTTATTCAACAAACATTAAGGGCCTACTCTATCCCAGACACTGAATTTAGCAATGAGAATATAGTAATGACTAAATGAATAGTCCTTGGTCTCAGGAAGCCTTTAGTCTACTGAGAGAAAATGAACAAGGTTTGAGTACTGTTTGTGACAAATGCTATGAAGGAAATACACAGAGGGCAGTAATAGAGAATACCTTGGTTGTTGGGGAAAGCCACTCTGAGGGAGGTCTATTTAAGGACTACCTCAGGGATGAGAAGTCGGCCATGAGAAGGGCAGAGAGACAAGCATTCCAAACAGAGGAAGTGGCACATGTGGAGGCAATAAGGTGGAAAGACTTGGAGCATATTCTGAGAGCAGGATGGAGGCCAGTGGAGCTGAGGAGGGACAGGGAACGTGGCACAAGATGTTAGGGAGGGAGGGACCAGGTCACACAGGGTCTTATGAACCACAGGAAGGAGTGGGAACGTTATTCCAAAAAATTCCAAGTGTTAAAACACAAGAGTATCATGGCCTTACTTATGTTTTCAAAATATTACTTGGGCTGCTGTTATTACTCTGCTAAGCAAGAGATGATAGTGACTTTAATCTGATGGCTATAGACACAGGACATTTTGATGAGGTAAAAATGACAGGATCCCCAAGAAAGAAAAATGATAGGACTTATTTATAGATCAGATGAGGGGAAGTTAGGGAGAGGAGGAAATCAAAACTGAACTCTGTAAGACTGAGAAAAGAGTTAACTGAGTTAGGGAGGGAATCAGTTTAATATTGTACATGTTAAGTTTGAGAATGCCTGTGGAACATCCAAGGTTGGATGTGAGCTACGCGGCTAAATAGGTAGTCTAGGAGGAGGGGTGTGGGCTCTCTACATACTAAATTTGTACTTAGCATATTCTAGTGTATGAAATACATATTCAGTCATACACACACTTCTAGAATTCTTTGTTAGATTTTTGAGAAAACAAATAAATGCGACAGTTTTTAATCTATCAAATGCTTTTTTTTAGGGGAAGGGTCAGCTGTAAAATCAATGTTTAAAAATAGAATGCTTTTGAATAGGTAAGATGACATACAAAAAAAACCCCCAAAAACCCCCAAAACCTAAGGTTTATGGCAACATTTCAAACAGGGGCCAGGGTAAATACAATAGAGTAAAACACAATTGTAAAACTCTCTCCAGAAATTGTCAGTTGTAAGTTTCTCATAAACTGTATTTTAGAATAACATAGGAGTTGATAATTTTACATTTCCCTCCAATATTTCCTATTGCTTTCTTGCTAGTATGTCTTTCATAAAAGATTTTTATAATGCTTCTTTTTGTTTTTTAAAGATAGGATAACTGTAATCCTTGGCAAAGCTGTAACTCAGTGAACGACAACATAATGAAGGTAAAAACTTTACCCAACACAAATAAACAATGAGATTTTTCATAGCGAAAGAATATTTGTCGGTAAATCTCACTTTACAAAAGAGACATATCATTATACTCTAACTTTGCACCTGCTATAACATTACTTACAGATCTGGGCTGCCCTGAGAATCTCCGGTTATAATCATTAATGTCTTGATGCAGTGGTGCAACATCCTGAGACTGGTCATTGTCACCAAATACTGGTAGCAGTAAAGTTACCTGTATATTACAGAAAAAACTGTTATACCTTTCTGCAGCATTAATTATTTTCATTTTGTATTATTCAATAAAATGAACAAAGCTGAATTTATATTTCACTCATTTCCTTTAGTAAAGGCAACACAGGGGAGGAAGTAAGCTATTATTACCTTACAATAAAATCCAATGCAAAATGTAATTTGAATGCCTATAAAACAAAATAGGCACCTTATCCAAACACAGGTTCTAATATTTTCCAGTCCACACCAGGGATAAAGTCAGTAGTTCTCTGTTTGGGCTAACATATATTTGATGATATAAAAACGATGAGAAAACATTCAGGAGCAAAGTGGCATAAAATATATACCTATTTGAGAGAAAAAATAAAGGATTTCTTTTTCCATTAAAATCACGATTCCTTATCCTCATTGGTATTTAAAATATCTTTGAATGTTACCAACCATAATACAGAGATTACATAATACAGAAACCAGCTCTCAATCACCTATCCCCACTATAATAAAAAAGGTAATTCTTGATACTGTTACATAAGATAATACATTTAATCCCTTTTGCTCCATGGTAAAGGTAAGGAAACACAAATATCTCAGGACCACACTTGGTAATCTGAAGAAGATAGTACCCTGAAAAATACCTATAGACATGGTCACTGTACAATGGGATAAAAATGGGAAGTAGTGACAGACTTAGGTTTATATCATCTAGCTTTTATCATTCCTCAGTTCAGCTGTAAAACCAGGGCTTCTCACTGCTCAGACGCTCTCCAAACAGCTAAACAAAGGAGTAACTCAGTAGTAGGTAGTAGGAACAACAGGTACAGTTTTCCCTTCACAATTTGTTAACAAAATACATCCTCTCAATAAATATTCATTGAACACCTACTGTGGGCAAGGCACTGTGCTAAGGGCTTGATATATAAAAAAGGAAGACAAGCCTTGCCCACTGGTGATCACAATCCCCACAGTAGAGGGGGTGACAGACCTGTTCAACAGCCTGCACTAAGTCACCCTGGTAGGTGGTCTAATGATGCTGAGAGTAAGGACTTCTTCTCCCTGGGGTGTCTAGGAAGCTTGAAACTTAAGCTAGCCCTTGACACACAGGTCGGACCATTGGGGTGTTAGTGTATGCATTCAGGGAGAGACGTGCTCAGCGTGCTCTAGTCAGAGTCAACAGCCTATGCATTATTCTTTCCAGTGAAAAGGAGGTGGAGCAGGTATCTGCCACCTGTCTTGCTTCCAGGATGAATTACTCTGCAGTTAGGAAACCAAAAGCTATTGCATGAAAACAAGTTTATCTCTGCCTTTCTAGCCTCTAGCCAATTTATGCGTGGTCCAGAGGATACCACCTGCTAATTTATATATACCCTAAGAAAAGCCATGGGTGGGGGAGCTAATTCTTTAATGTAAGACCTAGGGCCTGGTGTCAATGTTGCTGGTAGACAGCTAAAGATGATGAGAGGTGGTACTGGCAAATAGGTTTCAGTGTTGACTGCCTTGTGTCACATATAAAATCAGCCAGAGACACAGTACAAAAATATTAGATTTTCCTCCTGACCATGCAATAAAGAGTCAAATGTGAAAGAGGCAGAATTTGGGAATGTAGAAGAAGAGAGAGCCCTGAATCTCCATCCCTATACCAAAAAAAGAAGGCAGTGATGGGAGGAAGTGGAGAACCAGAACAAAGGCTGTAAGATGTGTATATATGTGTGTATGTGTATATACAGAGGGTGCCAAAGAAATGTATACACATTTTAAGAAAGGAAAAAACTGTATTAAAATTACGCTGATGGTAACCACTTTGAGCACCTTTTGTAATTGTAGAAGTCAAACGTGACTTGTATTCATCTTTTGTTATTGGTATATATTGAGTATTACAATTTTAATACAATTTTTTCCTTTCTTAAAATGTGTATACATTTTCTTGGCACACTCTGTATACTTAACAATACATACCATATGATTTTATTTATGTGAAATCCAAAAATCAGGCAGAACTAACCAATAATCTTAGAGGTACATGCCAAGGTAATGAAACTATAAAGAAAATCAAGGAAATGCTTATCTTAAAGGGAAATAGTAGTTACCTCTAGATGAAGGAGGGGTGAAGATTTGGGAGGGGTCCTGAGGAGGGTTCTAGGGCTGTTGGCCAGTTTCTGTTTCTTCATCTGAGTGGCAATTACTCAAGTGTTGCTTTGTGATAATAAACTGTACTTCTTTGTTTTGTGTGCTCTTCTGTATGTGTGTTATATTTTACAAAGAGCTTTTAGAAAATTGTTGCCTCTTGTATCGTTTTGTTTTATTTTTTGGTCTCTGTGGTTTTATGCCTTTATAAAATGTCCTTTACTATTGTTTTAGTGGAGTTGCGAGAGGGAGCAACAGTAGATATACGTATTCAATTTAACATCTTTACTTGGAAACTCTCTATCCTTTTTGGGACTATTTTACACACTGCAAGACTTCCTAAGGAGACGCTATCTTTTTACATGTTCATAACTCATTATCAGAAAGACACATCTTTTTATTTTAAATGGAAAATGAAATAAGTATAAAGGAAATTATGAAAAACCATATGCACCTGAAAGAATGTCTTATTTTGCTACATTTACTAATTTAAAAACTAAGGACTTCAGTTTCTGTTTTTCAGTATATTACTTCTTCCAGTTTGTCAAAGAAATTGAGAATATTTGGCAATCTCATCTGTGCTGACATTTCAGTCTTCAATATATGTTTATAAAAACTTTTTGTCTCCCTACTGAGGTAGCTTCTACACTAACTATAATGGTCAAATCTCTTCTGGATAATTCAATATGGTTATGTTTCCAAAAGAGACATTTAAAAAAATTATTATTCCTCATTTAAAGCTATCTGGACCCTTACTGGAGAGGGGCAGATTAAAAATGTTAAAAAGAAAAAATTTTTTCAAAACAAGTATATGTAGGGGATATTTACTTAAGCCTGATTAAGCTAGTTTAGTTATTTCTTTGCAGGTATTACAACAAAGACTTACTAGGATTTAGGAGACGATTCATTTACTATTTGTTTTCTACTACAACTCAAGGATTTCAAAGGAAATTCCCGTTTTTTGAGGTGTTTTAAAGACGTTAAAAAATAGTGGAGGGCCGGCTGAGTGGCTCAGTTGGTTAAGAACTCACTCAAGAGTGTGAGCTCTGAGCAACAGGGTCGCCAGTTCGATTCCTGGCCCGAGCTGAGCTGCTGCTGCGCTGCCAACAGGTGGCAGGATGGCTCAGCTAAAAAATAAAAAATAAAAAATAGTGGAATAATATAGAAGCTTTGGATAAAGGAAGTTCAGCTAAAAATATCAAAATAATTCAAAAGTTAGATACAGAAACTATAAAACTTTACAAAACAAACTAGCTTAAATGATGCTTTCTGGATATAAACATTACCGTTTGTCTACAGATTGGACAACTGATTGCCCCAAGCCATGAACCATATCTCCAGTATGCAATAATGCAGGTACCTAATGGGAAAAAAAATATTAATACTGGTGTTTTAAAGTCCATATATCCTGAGAAAATTTGAAATAGTTTAACAGTATCACCTTATTTTAAAATATTTTTTACTTCATCCAACACATTCTTCAGGTAAATTCAAATCTAGTAATTCCCAATCATTGAAAAACATTTTTATTTAATCAAAACCAAGCATGCACTAATTGCTCAATGCTACGGGGCTTACTAGAAAATACTGCATTTACTATATAAAACAAATAAAATAAACATCATTGTAAATATGACACCAACAAGTCACAGCCTAAATTTTCTGTTCCAAATTTGATATGTATGTTACAAAAACACAACTTTTATTTTTTATGAGTCTAGAAAGTTAAGTTACTTAAGTATCAATAAGAGTAATTAAGTAGTATGAAAAAGGAACCAACGGATACAAAGATTACATGCTCTCTGCCCTAATAAAGTTTATAATCCAGTTCAATAACTGAATCAACTTTTGTTCTAGTTGGGTTTGATTTTTCTGCTTGAAGGTGTTCATGAGTAGTAAAACCGCTAAACACAGCCTAAAGGGAAGACCTAAGAAAGTGATAGGTGAGGTAAGTATAGAAGCACAAAATGTTAGACCAGTAACAAGTGAAGAAATATTTTTAAATACTATCTGATGTTTAAGGGGCCAGTTTATTTTCTTCTTCGCAGGACACTTGTTTCTCAGGTCATCCAGGTCCTGATGTGAATCTGAACTAAGCACTTCTTTTCTCCCTCCTATGTCCAGGATTTTTTCTGTATTCTCACTCTTGTCTTAGCAACCTAGCTTACCCTTCTTGTGTTCCTTATTCTGATTCTTCCAGATCAAATAATTGTCCAGCATTCAGCAATGACGATCAAAGTAAGGATAAGGAGACCAAGGTAACATACTTAAATCAATCACAGAAGATAGTTAAATCTTGAACTGTGTAATATTAACTTTAAGCACAAAAGGAGTACAGAGAGGGAGAACTCTCTGGGATTTGTTAGAGAAACTTGTAGAGAAAGAGTTTGAACTAAACTTTGTAGGATAGCGAAGATTTAGATAGGCAGAAATCAGGTGGGATTTTAAAAATCCAGGTTTATGAACAGCAAGAGCAAATACAGGAGGCAGAAATAAATGGCATACGAGACTGGTAAGCAAAACAATGGGCTCAGCAAAGGCTCTCCAAATTGGACATTACAACAGTGACTGTGGGGAAAATCTGGTCCAACAATTAAAAGATGAATTTAAAAGCTAAACAATCTTTATCTGATATTTTGTTCCTTCTCTCAGCATGCTGTGCTAATTACATACCATTAATCCTTTCAGCAATCTAATTTCATATATAAACTACAAGAAAGCAAAACTTAGAAATCTGTTAGTATTATTACTGCCATCTATAATGATACCTTAGATTTATCTACTACCTTTAAACCCAAAAGTTCAATGTGTTTTGACATAATTTATTTAATCCCACATCTCCTTTCCACAAATTGGGGTGTTGGTGTCCTTGTTTTGCAAATTATGTAATGGTCACTTGCCTGCACTGAAAAACTATGGTCCAGCAAACCAAACACTTTGGTTCATACACATCTGCTATGATATATTCGATGTTTTCCTTTTTTCTCAACTTTCCCCCTCTTTAAAAAGAGAGATCCACCTAAATAGAGTAGAGATGACTCAATGACTATTCTGGAACACAATCTCCCTAAATCTGTTTATTTGTAAAATGGGAATAAGACTCCTTAAGACTTAATTTAGAGAATTAAAATAATGAGGGCTACAAATGCAAGTAAGGTGAAGTCTGTTGCTGCATTATTCTTAACTCACTGTAAAGGAACAGAAGTAGTTCCATACACAGGAACCAAGCTAAAGTGATCTTGATATACATGGTATCAATATAATTAAACTATTATTCAAAGAACACATTTTGTTTATTAAAAAGTTGAATAACTAGTTTTTTAAAATGTTTAAACCTATAGACGGTAAGTAAAAGTGTCTCATAAGTAGAGCAGGATATCAGAAGCAATCTACCCTATTACCTCAGACCCAAAGGTAAAACCAAGAACACAATACAGCCATCTTTCAATTGACTGGGTTATCCACTCAGTGAATTACTTAAGCCTGCGTTGGCAAAGAGAATTCATCTTGCCTGCCAAGACTCACTGATTCCTAACACTTTTCTGGAGTACTGTGTTAGAGGATGGCTGAGGCCATATCAAGACTCAGAAAAAGAGTGTCCAATTGATTAGGAATATCTACCAGAGGTTTGAGAAGAGAGGAAAGTATCTTTTTTTCTCTGATAGCCATTCAATTCTCCCTATCTGATTTTTCATTATTTTGCTGCTCATTAGCATTTCCAACAGATAAAGACAGACACAGAAATCAGTGTTTTATAATTTGTTAGCTACTTAGAGAAAAATATTAGGAAAGAAGTTGAAATTAATGGATGAGAAAATAATGGTGCTGGTCAGTACTTACTAAATGAGTACAAGGTATAGGAAACCCTGCATTGAATGGTATAGATTTAAAATATGCATGTCATCCCCAACACTAACACTATATATACCTAAGAATTCCACATCATCTTAAAAGATACAAAGGGCAGAAAGCAATTTATAGGATCATTGTATGCTACATTTTAAATTGATCTTTATATGGAAATTGGGTGCATTTTGGGAGCAATTAAAACCCTATCTTGAATACAGCTGTTCAAACAGAAAGAACTATCAATGAAAAAATAGGTCTAATGATCGGATAAATCTTAGAGAGTAGCTGTATTTGCCACCAGTTATAGAGTGGAATTGAGCATAGGGCTCTGTCCCTTAGCAGCTGGGTTACCCTTTCTGAATTTCTTAACATATCTGAGCCTTGGTTTAATGTGGTTAGATGAGATGAAGTATATTAAGTATCATGTAATAACTTACTCTCCCCAATCTCATATGACCATAAGAATTGACTATATGATATCTCATTATTCTCTGTGAAATCTTTCTGAAAGGTCAGGAAAAATGCCCAGGGGTAGAAAGCATCCCTTACTGACACTAAGTAAATGTGAAACCAACATTCCCTTCTTGTCCCAGTACATGCTCTAAATTTTTCATTCTCTATCACCAAACCTCTTGAGGTCCTGAAGAAAGAGGCTAAGAACTTCTGTACTAACTCAGAATAAAAAAGTTAGTAGACCTAAGAGAAGGTCTTGGGTGGCAGGGTCCTTGAGAGAAGAAATTTCCTGCATTGGGAAGGATGAATAATAAATGAAATTACTAAAAAGTGATGAGCAATGAGGTATTTAGTGAATCCCTCATGGTATTGATATACTTGAGTTAAACACATTTCTGTTTATTGAGAAGTTGAATAACTCGTTTTTTAAATCTGAACCCACAGACACTTAATAAAAGTGGCTGGTAAGTAGAGCAGGATATCAGGAGCAATCTACTGTACTCACGAAATACAAAATGTGACAAAGAGAAAATTAGGAATCCGGCCTGTGTACACATGTGGGTCTTGGTCTAAACAGTCACTTTTGCCAAATACAGCATTGTTTGCTTACCACAGAAGAGATGTCCACAGTTGGTTTCAACAGGGAAGGATGCCTGATGTAAACAGATCGGACAGTACATGTCAGTGTAGAACTGCTGTCGAGCAGCCACAGGTGCATCCTGATGAGAAAGTATGTATTCATATTCATGACATGCACAGGTTTTTCAAAACTACCTTTATGTTAAATTATACTTAGGAATACAGTCAGTACAGTGAAATCCTCATCAAATTTTAGATATGTAATAGTTCAAGGTCTTATAAGTTTGATAAAGTTATGAGACTACCTTGTTATTTTATTTATAAACTGCATGGTCTCTACCTTCCTTCCTGAACACAATTTAAAGATAAAAACCTAGATTAACTCAGGAGTTTCTCTTTATTCTATTAGGATGAGCAAGTTATTTTGAGTAACACAAGGCTGAGCTAATACATAAGCTGAATAAGAAATGTCAAACTGTTTCCCAAGTATGTATTAATTTCTCATTTTTAACATCTTTTTCATTTATACATTCCTGATTAAGTGTTACATGTATACACAATCTCACAAGAGCTCAGAATTAAACTTTCAGAGAAGGCTATTTGGTTATTTTGGAAGTAGAAAAATGTAAGACCACTGGTAACTTGAATTTAATCCTTCACACAGTCAGGTTAGTAAATTTTAATGTTTCTCAGTTACATCGCTGGTGCAATTGTAATAGGAATGCCGATTAGGAATCATCAGTACAAGAAGCATCCAGATATCAAAGAACCCACTGGAATGTGAGTGCTATGAGGACAAGGACTTCGTCTGCAAGATCCATTGTAGCAGTACCCCAGGAACTAGAAAATTATCTAGTACTAGTATGCAATGTATACCTTTTAGAATACTTATCAAAACCTGTTTTTATAGCACCTAGCATATATCTTATAAACAAAGTAGCTGGCATTAAAAACATTAAATTACCAAAATAAAAAGTATCAAATTTCCTAAATATTAGTTATTGTTAATTGTAAACTAAATCAAAGATTTTGGTCATTCAAAATTAATTTACTGTAACTAAAATCTCGTGTCCTAAAACAGTCCTAAAATACTAGAATAGTCTATAAGCCAAAGTCACACCTTGATGTGAGAGCCAATTTTGTCATTTTTAATGGTGCAAAAAAGAAAAACATACAGCACTTAATGTTCCCCTCTCAGCCTTCTCTTCATTATTGTTCTTTGGAAATTAACTGACAAAAAAACCAATTACCAGTGCTGTCCAACAGAATTTTAAGCAATAGTGGAAATTTTCTTTATCTGTGCTGTCCAAACTGGTTGTCACTTGTCACATTGGCTACTGAGTACTTGAACTGTGGCTAGTGTGCCTAAAGTGCTGAATTTTTAATTTTAATTAATTTAAAATTAAATAGTCACATGTGGCTAGTGGCTACCATACAACACAGCACAGTATAGGCTAAGTCACTAGCTTCATTCTAACTAGAGCTATATGCCATTTTTGAGGAAGATGTGAGGTAGATGAATGGGACAGTGATAAAAAAAAATCTAGAAGATCCCCCTCAATCTGGGACTCCTGTATATCTAGATCCATTCATGTAATCCTACTGGGAATTTAAGCAAGTCTTAGTAATCAAATATGTTAAATGGGGATAATAATAGCTGCTTTATTTATGTTTGAAGATTAAATAATAGTTGTATGTGAAATCACTTTGTAAATTATTACACACTGTCCCAGCATGAATTATTGACAATAATATCTCTGGAAGAGAGTACTACTAATATGCTTAAACTATTTTTGAATCAATGAATTTAAGTTCTATGAAGTAGGAATTCTTGTCTATTTAGTTCACAATTAAAATCCCAATACCTAGAACACTGTCAAACATATGGTAGATTTTCAATAACTATTTGGTGAATGGATAAATTATAAAACCCTCTTTGGAATTAAAGTTTGACGTGGGTAGGAAATCAATTTTTAATTTTTGTTTTTTCATGTTAGTTATCTTGGCATGATGGTGTACAATATCCTACATAACCCAGCCTTCATAAAATATATTACATTTCTGGTTCTTGGAGAGTCCATCTGGCTAAAAGCAAAGAAGAGGCAGAAGAGAAGTTTTCTTCTTTTCTTTGCTTAACTTGTTTTGTTAACTTTGATTATTGAAGAAAAAGAAAAGAAAAAAGCCACCCTTAATAGTCATTTCTTTGTAGGTCTTAGGGGAATATATGTTAGAAAGAATAGTTTTTCCACTACTTTTTATTAAATCAAATTAAGAGAGTGATTATTTCTTCACAAGTAAATAATAAGAAAACTGCTGTCTTTTAAAGCAAGTTAAAAGAAACCACAACAACATATGAAAACATGTGAGTAGATTAAGATTGTCATTTGCCTAATCTGAAAATATAGAATTGATAGAATAATTTATGGTAGTTTAAAGCAGGAAGAAGCCCATGTTTCCAAAAAGTTATTTATTAATATTTCATCACGATTTCATATGCAAGGGGAATTATCTACTGCTTACATAAATGCACATATTTATATAAACAGTACCTGTTCTGTTTGAAGTTGTTCCCGAAGCACCCTTACTAGTTCTTGGTTTTCTGGGTGAATGTTTTGATGTGCATTTCTGTTGAATAAAATATAATAAACTTTGAATATAATATATTGTCAGATGAATCAGTTTTCTTTATGTGTCTAATTTTCGACCTAGTACTACTGGTAACTTAATAAATGTAAATGATGGCGTACAGCTCTACTCCAATTCCAGACTGAACATTCCAGGCTATTTTGAGATCACTGATTATCGGCTCATTTCATTTTTAACTGGCAAATGATGAAATCCAGAGTCCTAGTACCTTGTGGATTTAATGTAATTGCAGACTTACAAACAATAAAAGAGCAATTAACATATTTAATTCTTTTGTAAAATTCCTTCAAAATAAGCAGCTATAAGGGTCGGCCGAGTGGCTCAGTTGGTTAAGAGCTCACGCAAGAGGGTGAGCTCTGATCAACAGCGGTTCAATGCCCGGCCCGAGCTGAGTTGCCGCTGAGCTGCCAACAGGTGACAGGATGGCTCAGCCAAAAAAAAAAAAAAAAAAAAAAAAAAGCTATATAATTCTATATATTATTATCTTTTTGAACACCCTTCCATATCTAATTCGGTCCTTCTCCCAACTTTTCACCTATGAGGGGAAGGGACAGAGAAAAACAAAAACTAAAATTATATAGTATAGAAAAGCCAAAAGCTAACATACCACTAATATCTTAACATTAACAATTACAACAGAGAATTAAAAGTGAGAAGTTAGTAGCCGATATAATAGGATGGGATAAGACATATAAGAATTGAAAATTAGAAGTGGTGGTTAAGTTGGTAGGTTGGGAGTGAAGATTTACATCTGAATCATGGCTTAATTTCATTTGGCTGCAGAAGTATTTTCTAAAGTGAAATCTCTTCAACAGCAATATTTTAAGTACGCACAATCCCAGTGTTACTCTACAGAGGAAACTTTACTCTATGGGTGAGCCAATATCCAATAGCAATAAGAATTCTAAATCAATATACTAATGGGATAAGGAAAATTAAAGAAATCCATCCTATGATTATTCAATTTTTAGTAAAAAATTCAAATTTTAGAAAAGAAAGCTGACAAAATATAACCATTAGTTCACAGAAGACATAAATACAATTTAAAATCAAATCTCTAATCAGCTGCTGTCATGGAGAACTGCTTGGTGTGCGGGGAAAAAACTGCCACACATTTGGTGACCAGAAGCGTTCTGTGTAAATATAAAGGAGACACACAGGAGACAAACACAGTAGGGTAGATCCAGGTTTTTCCCTACTCTGCAAGGAAAAATCTGCAGGTTCTTCCTTTACACCCTGGTTCCATGAAGCTACACAGAATAAACCTAATTCTTCAACAAGACAAGCCCTCATCATATTTAAAGACAGCTTTATGTCCTACGGCCTTTTCCCCTAAACTAGATATCCCCAGTTACTTTAAGAATTTTTGTTTTCATAGCTTTACCCATTCTGATAACCTACCCTGAATGTTTTACAATTTAAAATTCTTGACCCAAATTGAATATATTCAAAATGTGACCTTTATCTGGTTATTTTGATTAATGCAGCCTAATACTATTATTTTTTTGGCATCTACAATATACAATTGCCTTATTAAGTAGCAACTTTTAGTTTCGGCTTCATATCATTCCAGTTTGTGGGAAAAAAACTTTTATTATGCAAGTAGTAAGTATCCATAGTAAGTAAATTAGAAAAACAAACAAGGGGAAATAAAAGTATTTAAAAATAAAATTAAACTGGGTGGGCCGAGTGGCTCACTTGGTTACGTGCTCGCTCAAGAATGCAAGCTCTGACCAACAGGGTCACCGGTTCAATTCCCGGCCTGGGCTGAGCTGCCAACAGGTGGCAGGTTGGCTCAGCTAAAAATAAATAAATAAATAATAAACTTATAGAGATATTTTTAAATAAAATGGGCTACTTGACTTGTGGTTTTATGATGTGTCTTTCACTTACAAATTCTCACTCAACAATTTACCATTCTTAATAGGTAAAGAACAAATATTTTGTATTTGCTTGGTCATGGCCCATTTTTTAAAAAAGATTTATTGAGATATAATTCATCACCACAGTCAACTTTAAAACATTTTCATAACCTCAAAAAAAAACAAACCCCATACCCTTTAGCTATCACCCCCTATACCCCCATCTTCCACTCTTGTCCTAAGCAACCACTTACCTACTTTGTATCTCTATAGATTTTCCTATTATGGACACTCATATGAACAGACTCATATGTGGCCTTTTGTGTCTGGCTTATTTCACTTAACATAATGTTTTTAAGTTTCATCTGTGATGTAGCATGTATCAGTATGTCATTCTTTTATATACTTGAATAACATTCGTTGTATGGATATATGGCATTTTGTTTATCCTTTCATCTATCAGATATCTGTTGTTTCCACCTTTTTTTGTTTTTAAAGATTTTATTGGAGAATTGGGGGAGGGGAACAGGGTTGGGGAATTGGGGAAGTGAAACAGACAAGTTGCTGTCCTTTTGTACTTCAGTCTAGTTGTGGAGGATGTCACTTCACTGGCCCATGTTGGTATTACTGCGCTCTTCCCGGGTGAGGCAGTTGCTCACCAGCTATTGGATAGCCGCTCACGGCCGCTCACGAAAGTTCACGCCAGCTGCCGGCTACTATAGCCTACGCTGTCGCCGGCAACTCACGGCAGTCCAGCTATAGGTCAAGCTGTTGTTCCCCATCTTAGCTGTAGAGGGCATAGTCTCAATGGCCCTCATGTGGGATCCGAACCGGGGCCCTGCTGCTCAAAGCTGGCGTCCCAAGCCAACTCCTAACAAACGCGCCACTCGGCCAGCCCTCCACCTTTTGAATATTATGAATAATACTGCTATGAACACTCCTGTACAAGGTTTTTTGTGGGGAAATATGTTTCCATTTCTCATGGGTATATATACTTAGGAGTGAAGCTGCTAGGTCATATGGTTACTCTATGTTTAATCAATTGAGGAACGGACAGTTTTTCAAAGTGGTTGCACCATTTTTACATTCCCACCAGCAGTGTATGAGGGTTCTAAATTTCTCCACATCCTTAACAATTGTGATCTGACTTTTTGATTCTAGCCATCTCAGTGGTGTGAAGTTGTATCTCACTGTGGTTTTGATCTGCATTTTCCTGATGACTAATAATGTCAAGCATCTATTCCCAGGCTTATTGTTCATTTGTGTATCTTTGGGGGAATGTCTATTCAGATCCTTTGCCTATTTATTAATTGGGTTATTTGTCTTTTTAAGTTCTTTATATATTCAGATACAAGAGCCTTATCAGATATATAATTTGAAATGTTTTCTCTCATTCTGCAGGTTGTCTTCTCCCTTTCTTGACGATGTTCTTTGAAGCACAATAGTTAATTTTGATGAAGTCCAATTTATCTATTTTTTCTTTTGTTGCTCATGTTTTTGGTGTTATATCTAAAAATCCTGATGATTTATTCCTATGTTTTCTTATAAGTTTTATAATTTTACCTATTACATTTAGATATTTGATCTATTTTGAGTTAATTTTTGCATATAATGTGGTATGAGTCCAACTTCATTCTTCTGCATGTGGCTATCCAGTTGTCCCAACATCATTTGTTGAAATCTTTCCCTATTGATAGGTCTTGGCACCATAGGTCAAAGACCAGTTTACCACAGATATATGGAATGACCCATTTTTGAATCTTAATTCTGTTGTACCAATACATTAGCTACCCTTCTCAACTGACAATTTAATAAACATGCTCCTTTTCTTCTTCAACTAAGTTGCTAAAAGAAATGAGTAGAACAGGCTCAAGGGTAGAGCCCTGTAATAATTCAGTGTCCTCTTTTTTTTTTGTTTACATTAAAACATTAGTCAGTATTCCTAGGAACAACCTGTCAACGAGTTATGAATTCATTTAAATCTGCTATCATCTAGCTATAATTTCGCCATTATGTCCACACGTGTATCACCAGGTACAGTATTACTGGGTTGTCGGAAAACTCATGATGTATTTTTTCTGTTTTTCATTGCAAAAATGCGTCATGACTTTTCTGACAACCCAATAATTACCCTACTGAAATCAAGATAATGTTACTCTAGTAAGAAACTAACCATGCAGCGGTAAAAGAGTAAATTAATTACCATTTTTTCCTAACTCTTCACTTTCTGTTTTTTTTTTTTTTAGCTGAGCCATCCTGCTACCTGTTGGCAGCTCAGCGGCTGCTCAGCTCGGGCTGGACTCGAACCGCTGTTGCTCAGAGCTCAAACTCTTGAGCGAGCTCTTAACCAACTGAGCCACTCGGCCGGCCCCTTCACTTTCTGTTTAATAATCCTTTCTGTAATTTTTATAAGAAACTCACTAATCTGCAATTTTTGGAATTAATATTTTTCTATTTTATACTTTTTTGCCTATTTCTGTTTTCAATTTTATATTTTGCACTTATTATATCACTTACAAGTTGATGTATTCAATTATGAAAATTAAAATTTTAAACTGTGATACTCCTATAGAAAATATTACCATTTTATTAAAAATATGGATAATTTTAAATTTTTATCCTATAAGACAGTTGATATTAGGAAAAATGTATGGTAGCATTTAGGGCCTAGTGGAAAATAAAATGCCTTAGTAATTACTGAGATCTATTATTTGCTTTTCATATTAAGTTACCAGTAGTGCCAAAAAATGTATACACATGACTTGTAGTCATCTTTTGTTATCGGTATATATTGAGTATTACAATTTTAATATAGTTTTTTTCCTTTCTTAAAATGTGTATATATTTTTTTGGCACCCTCTGTATTAAACATTAATAGAAGCAGTCAGAAAGTCAGTGGCCCCTGTAAATATACATTATTTCAATTCTTTTGTGCTTTAGTCTCACCTGAAAAGTGCATATACCAGGGTAGCAATCAAAGCGAAACTGACCACAACTGCCACAAGTACTTGGTCACTTACTCCTTCTATGAATGAATCATCATCCAGTTTCAAACTTTTAACTTCACCCAGATATTTGGCCATTCCAGGTCTAAAAGATAAAGAAACAAGATGAAAGTTACAAATGACACAGCGAAAATTAAATAACTAATAAAAACCAATATAAATTTAACTGACTTCTAATATTTTTAATTTTTGTTGTATTCACTTAAATAGGTTGCATTAAATACAACTCCAGTGTGGATTACCCTATAATGAGTTCTTTAAAATTTGCCACACGTTATTTTGGAGTATAGAATTCTCTTTCCTTTAAGGAAAATAATTACTATAATGTGTCATTCAATTACATTTTTTAAAAACAAATTTTTAAAAATACCCTTTCGACTTCAAGCTTAGCTCCCTTAATTTTAAGAAAAAAAGGATATTTCTCATGTCCAATTGCTCTTTTCTTATTCCTAATACCAGATACATTCTCCATGTAGATCAGATCCTTCTTCTCCCTCATAGCACTGAATGTGCATCATGGAATTTATCATGTATAAATAGGGAAGGAAACATATTGTCTTCTTCTGTAAATATTCCCATAATGCCTAGTCTAGTACCCTGTATACAGTAGGACCTAATAAATATACGTTTAAATTAGAGTGGCTTACTTTATTTATAGTGTTAGTACTTTGAATAGTAAAAAACAATGAGGCTATAGGACATTTATACTGAGACTACTTGAAATAATGAAAATTCTGGTGCTTGAAAAACTATTAGCCTCACCTGGGACTAAGCTCAGCTTATGGTTCAGAATTCTTTGGACTGTCTGGAATATGGAATCACTCTCAGGCTGCATTTCCTTATGAAGAGAAAAGGAAGGATATGAAACTCTCCTTCCCATACACTAAACTAGAGAAAACTGGTAATACACAATTTCTACAGGTATGAGGGAAGAGAGCCCAACCACAACAGGGTCCAAATATCACAGGTAATTCGTATTTTTTTTCAGATGGCAAAAATAGTAAAGTTCAAAGTCTTTTAAGATACCTACAAGGAAATAAAGCAAATAAATATTCAATTAAATACATATGACTATTCATAGTTAAAATATAATTCTGTATTTATGTAACTTACTGCACTGAAAAAAGTTTTATTCAGTATCATGAATCAGGTGAGTCTCTGTTAAGAGGAAAATGAGAAGAATCTAAACTGGCTGCTTGTAAGAAAATTACCTCTCACTGAAGAAACCTAAACACACAGATCAAAGGCGGCTTTCATTAGCTTTACCCATAGTAATGGCCTGATATATGAGGAACTTTCTAATGACAGGTTTCAAATATCCATGATGAAGGCTCATACCAGGAAACTCAGAAAAAGAGCCTCAACTTCAGTATTTTTATTCAAAAGAGCAGTCAAATGAATTGCCAACTGAAACTGAAGAAAGAGCATCAAATAATCTAAGAGTGGGCCATGTAGTCAATTTAGATTTTTATTTATTCAGGTTTCCTCTTTTTAGAGATGCTATGGCTATGTCAAAAGTCCTAAGGGCAGTGAAAATTACTTAGATCTGCTCAAAGATATCCAAAATGTTATCCCGTGTCAAGATGCCCAGCTTCTAATTACTGAATCTAGTTACTTCAGAGTTGTGAGGATTTTCTCCTATGCTACATATTTAGGGGGGTTACTACTTTGTACCTTTTTAAATAATGGGTTACATTTGTTTCTGTGTCCTTCCAGGTATAATCATTGATAATGTGACTAAATTCTACTGTATGAATTATATATACAGAGGGTATCAAAAAAATGTATACACATTTTAAGGAAAACTGCATTAAAATTAAAATTGTAATACTCAATATATATAGATAACAAAAGATGAATACAAGTCACATTTAACTTCTGCAATTACAAGAGGTGCTCAAAGTGGTTACCATCAGCGTCCAGACACTTCTGATTACGGCAAACTACTGCTTGAACAATGTTGGCCAAAGTGTCCACTTGTATACGTTTTTTTTGCACCCTCGGTATAGGACTTCTACGTACACCCTTCAGATATTGCTGCATGAATACTTCCAAGAGCACAGAGATCCAGTATATATTTAAGTATTACACAGCCATATTATGTTATTTGCATCATTTTATAGCAGTTCCCAATGTTGTTCAAGAGTTATTTATTTCCACAAATTCTATAGTATCACCAAAGAAGGTGCTTGGGCTGAGAGAGGGTAGGAGGGGAGACTGCTGATAAATTTCTGAGAGGAACAGATACCTAGGTTTTTTCTGTCATATGGAAATTCCAGCTAAACCTAGGGGCTCTGACATGGAAAACTATTAATGGTGTCTGACCTACTAGTTGGGGGTTTCAGTAGTTCAGTTTCCACCTGTAGTTTTGTTTATAATCACAGAAAAAACAAACAAACAAAAAGAACTGTATGTAGGAGCTAGTGGCTCAAAAATGAGGTATTATATAATATGACCTCAGTTTGAAAAGATCACAGGATAAACAATAAACTATTCTACTTGAGATGACATAAACCTCAATCTTGAAAATGAATTCAAAGTCAGTCTGAAATTTAACTGTCCAACTTTTGCTTTTCACAGTCAGGTTTTTAGAACAGAACAGTGCTATTGATTTTGTCCAATAGTACAAGCAGGCCCTCAACTAAAGCCCAAGCACTGCCCAGAGTTTCGCTCCAACCCTGCTACCACAGCTGTGACACCATTTAATCTCTTGGGACCTCTCACTTTCTGCAAAATGTAAAAGCTAGACCTGAAGATTCCTTAAGTTCCTTCCACTAGTACATTTCTCTGATCAAGAGTTTTTGGCACAGAACAACAACAAAAATCAGAAAAGATAAATACCAAAGGTTAAAGTGGTTACGAGTGGGGAGCAGGACAGGGAGAGCCAGATCTTCACCTTTCCCAGGATACAGTTTTATAGTTTAGATTATTTTCAAGTACATATTATTTGAACAAAAATAAAAGCCAGTGTCTGCTTCCTCCCTTGAGAGAGAAAATTAGGCTTCAGTACCCAGATATAAAATGTCTGTCTCCAGTCCCATTCTTACCTACCACCCTAATCACTCCCAGCTTCCTGATGGTGCCTTAGAAAGATCTCAGTGACGAGCACTGGGAGGCAGGCACAGTGACTACATCTTATTCCCTTGAGCAGTGCACAGGAAATGGTACATGTTGTAGGGGCCGAAATGTTGCTTACTTCAAACCCAGAAACAAGGTTATTCAATTTATAGAACATGTATCTCATCTATTTCATGGGACCCTGTCAAATATGAAAATGACTAATACTGTTTTTAACTATTTGAGATTTATCGAAACAAAACACCATATATCTTGGAAACTGTGTTGATAATTATTATAGAATAATTGATAGATAACTGATAGAAGCAGAACTGGTTTTTAGCTTTTGCTTTGTTATCACTTAGCTGGATAAGTCTTAGTGAGGAACAGCTTAATATATTGAAGAGCATAAGCTTTGGAGTCAGACTACTGTGTACTTATGTAAAACCTGGGTCTCAGCTTCTTCATATGTAAAATGTATAAAATTAATTTGAACCATATCGAATGACCATTTTTTGGGCAAAAAAAGGCTTGTTTTATGGAGCTGAGATAATGAAGGTAAAGCATTTAGTATATTGCTTGGCACATCGTACAGGTTGTCAGTAAACAGAAGCTGTAATATTTTGATTATTATTAACTGTTATTATCAAGGAATCAGCAGAACCATCATAAAACTTAGCCATAGCTTCCATGTAGCTGCACTATATGGCGTCTCAAACCATCTTTAATCAAAGTTCTAAGTATGTATTCCCTGGGAAGAAAGGATAAAATTGGGAACATTGCCACACAGGACACTACCATGTTTACTTGAAAGCGATAAACAGCTGTAGATGAGAAGAGGCCTCCAACTAACTGGAACAGCTAAGTTCCACTCACCTTTCTTTGGTCTTTTCCAAAGTTTTCAGGAAACACACACACACACACACACACACACACACACACACACACACACACACGGACAATTTCCTAAGGGAAATGTAGGAAATTCCATAACTTCAAAGGATAAACTCAATGCCTTTGTCCCCAAACTCATGTAGAAACATAATGACCACATGGCTTCTGAAGATAATTACTAACATCCAAGAAGGTTTTAAAATAACTTCCTTCATGGGAGCTACAAAAAGGAAACTTTAAGAACACTGCAATATCATGCACAAATGCTTTGGGATGAGCAGTCAAGCTTGAAAAAGGAGGCTTAGGTTGATTGTGTCAAAGCCTTGAAAACCTGAGCAGCTGGAGCACAGGTGCTCACTACGCTACAGTCCTTCCAGAAAAGGTTAGCATCTTGTTCTTCTCCACATCCAATGACAAACTGCAGGGGAGTCAGGCTCACCTACTGACTTTAAATGCCTAACAAGGGTAGTGGTTAATTAAAGTGCAAGGGATTCTACAGGAACAACCCACGATGAAATGTAGGAACTCTGGTTTGACAAAGATCCACAGACACCAAAGGAAACAAAGGGAACTGAGATACCTATTTATCATGTCTACAGGTTTCTCTACCCTTGGGGTAGAGAACAAGGTTTAAGAGTAAGACACTGTGGAGACTTTAGGTACAATTTTTTACATTCGCAAAATAAGTTGTCATATCAACTGTTAACTGGTACTCTGTAAAGCATCATTAAAAACTCAGTATCATCTTGATAGTTCCGAGTGCTCAATGACAAAAACCTACTCTTAATGAGAAAAGGAGGGGCTCCAGGAACTGCAAACCAAAGTAAAGATGTGTCCTGGGAAGTTAAATTTGCTGCATCTCAAATAAAAGTGTGGCATTATCTGGTCAAGTTATGCATACCCCCAACAATTCTCTTAGGACTCCAAGACACATATCCTTAAAAAATCTTACACATTTGCACTAGCATCTAAGTATAATAATGCTTACAGCATTTTTCTTAGTATCCCCAAACTGGAACAACAAAATGCTCATCAACATTAGAATGAGTACAGTTATAGTCATACAATGGAATACTAGACAGCAGTAAAAATTGCCTACATACACAAATTCACTATTAATTCAAAACCACAAAATAATACAATAGTTCCCACTCGTAAAAGTTCGAAAACAGATCAAGTAAAACTGTACTGTTTAGGCATGCATATCTAGGTGGTAAAGCTATAAGGCAACGCAAGAAAGTGAGTTAGTCTAGGGAGGGGATTGTGCTCAGGAAGGAACACAAGGTGTGCGTGGAACTCCTGTGGTTACCAGCAATGTTGTTTTATCTGGGTGTTTTATTATTAATTATTATTTAAACAGGTACGTTGTATGCACTTTTCTGCATGTTACATCGCATAAAAATTTATCGGTAACCCTGCAGAGATTTACACCTCTGAAAAGGTGAGCTCTCGCGGCCGATTCACCTAGCCATTAAAGAAGAAGGCCAACTCGTAGCAGGCACTGGGAGAAACAGGCCCTAGGAACTGTCGGGTCCTCAGGGATTGGCGAATTGGTGCACACCCTCTCCCTGCTTTAACTTAGGTTGTCGGGGGGGG